ATATATATATATATATATATATACACATATATATATATATATATATATATATATATATATATATATATATACACAGTGTAGCTTATTTATTTTGTTGATGAAGGCAAAGCTAAATTAAAGAATGAAATGATGCATGTCAGGGAGTCTGTATTATAACACACACTTGACATTGATAAGACCTTTTTACTATAGTCTATAACACCTTTCACCCTGAATAAATACACACTTTACACTCGTTTGTTAAGCCACTTTACTAACCAAATACTTCACACAAGGTATTTGAACTTGCTGGAAATAGGTTTCTGAGTCTTAGGCAGTGGAGGTGCAGGGCTTTGATAACATTTCTCAATGTTACCTCATACCACGAATATAATGAACACTAATGAGGGGGTTACCTACACCCACCTACTGAAATGATCAAACCAGTGTTGTTACAGTATCCCCATGACCACCTAAGCATCATCCTTAAACTAAATGCAGATACCACATTGAAAAAGATGTGAAAAGAGAGCCGTGTGTCATATTTCTCCTCTTCTCCACTGATCTACCTGTTGATGTCTTCCTGGGAGGTCATGACCCGCCGCTGGTTGACCCACTGTTGCAACTGGACCATGGAGGTCTTCCTCTGGGCCACCCTCTCTGGAGCCGTTCTGGGCACAAAGCCTCTCCTTAGTACCACGTTATCCTGCTGCTCCCTGTGGTCATTTGATGGGCCAACACCCACCTCTGGGTGTCCCTGTGGGGCACAATGTTGACTGTGACTCCTGGATGGAGGGGGTTTGCTTTTGCTGTTGGGGGGCATGGTGTTGCGAGGGCCATATTTGCCCCAACCATTTGGATGGTGACTTAGGTGAGAGGCGTCGTCAGGAGCAGGTCCTCCCCCTTCATCTTCACCTTCTCCTCCACTTTCTCCTCGTCTTCCATCATTATTTTTTCCCACTTGATCGGAGCAGGGGGTAGAGGGTGTGGGTGTCTCAAGGCTGTTGACCCCATTGATCTTAGGGTTGGGGGTAATTTCACTGTCAGTGTCATTGTGTGTTTGTGTATGAAGAGGCTGCTGTGTTTGTTGGTTAGGTGCCTTGGTCACCATGGTGTGGTTGAGATCCGCTATGGTGTTCATTCTATGAAATGCGAAGGGAAAAAAAAGGCATGAGGATAGATAGGCAGTTTTGTTCCAAAATGATTACAGAAGCAGACATTTGTTTTAATACCAGAACATCTCAACATCAGGCCAACAGTTTTGTTAATTTCTCTTTTTAACCAGCTTCCGACCAAGAAACAAAATGATCCATTGTTGCTTACTATTTTTGATCTGGTTGGTGTTCACACTGTTGTATGAGTAAACATGAAGTTAAGTAGGTCATTTGGTCATTGGACAGTTTTGATGACTGAATCTTCCTTCATCATCAGCACAACACAGAGCCAAGAGGCAAAAGCACTTCTAATAACTGTCAGGTAAAGCTGGACTAATTAGCATTTTCAGCAGTGCTTGATCTGAGCCAGTTCTCAAGCATGGCCTAGGTTAGAGTTCTGTCCACTGCATACTGTTACTTATGGCTCACTTTCTAATACACAAAGGAAATATAGTTTTGGTTGGTTTACATGGGTTCATTACCATTGTCAGTGTGTGCACCATGCTACAGAGCCAAATGGCTAGATACATTTGTTCTGAAGTTTGTGACATGCTATTCACTGTTAACAATTTGCTGTTTTTATCATTTTATTTTTGGGCATGAAAAAAAAGTATGAAAACAAATATTTTTCAAGTAGCCCTTCACAGTTCAGCTTTGTAACTGGTAAGAAATCAGTTGCTTGTTAAACATATTTTGAGATGTGGACATATGATGAACGGAAGACATAATGCTGGTGTAAATACCATAAAACAACTCTCATACTGAGTGCATTGTTGCCCATTACAGTCATTCCTGATAGCACCACCAGAAACCACCAAATTATCTAAATTGAATGCATAGTACCTTTAAGATATGAATAGCCCATACTAGCCAATACAATACTGCCATGGCTGGCCATTTTGGACAGGCCCAATCAAATAGATTGTCCATGTGTGTATGAGTTTGAGAACGGCACCTCTGTGTTAGCTGAATGTCGACCTCTGCAGCTTCGCTCATGGCTCTAATCCATTCTTCCTGTTCCTCATGGCTGTCTGCGCTAAAGTAGTATGTCCTGGTCCCAGCGTGCTGCACCTGCATGCAAAACACAACAGGACCCTTCAACTCCCCGTCCTCACCCTCCTCCTTCTCCAACCTCACCTGCAGAGGGAGACAAAACACAGAGATGCAATGCACGAGTAGCAGTCTTAGACCCATCAATCAAGTTATTAGCATTCTCAACATCCCATCACCTCTATGCCAGAAACTTGATCTGCCATGCAATGAAGAGGCATGATATTAAAGATGTCAAGGTAATTCTGGTTTATTATTATTGGTAAACCACTTTATTTGGACTATTCAGTCATGTGAAAGATTGTAAGTGACATGTCAGGTGTACTCAATGAATGCACAACTATTGTAAAGTAAGTAAAATGGATCAAAGTTCAAATAGGATGTGTGTGTCTAAATTGTGACGAATGCCTGCAATAGACAGTTTGTGGGTGTAAGGACTAACAGGTGTTGTATGCTATACAGATTAGTGATTCATGGCAATAAACTGTAGAACTGCAGGGTTTGTTTCCAAGCTGTGTGACTTCTGACTGCTCATGCTTCTTTCTAAGCAATGCCACCATGTTCCCAGATCCCAGCAATTACCCTGGTGAGTACAATATTGCCGTTACTAATAAAATGAATGGACAAAACTAGTGTTAAAGTAAACCAGAATTATACTTTAATTATATCCATGCACATTTCCCTGGTCAACTGTTTGTATTAAAGATACACTCACTGATTCTGTTACAGTTCCAAACAGTACCCCTTAAATCCTGATATATCCTCCCAGATCACCTTTTGAAACTCCGGCTAGTTGACAGTTGAGTTTTAAACATTATGGTGTTTGCAGTGGTAGTACTGGTTGCAATAACAAAATGACAGGGTGTACCTCTGAACAGCAGATTGGACATGCAGACACTAACTAAATAACCCAAACATGAATCCTTATGTATCCAACAGTCATGCAGTACTGGAGCTGTAATGGTGCATTCTTAAAGACAGGGCAGTTAATGAAAAGAATGAAAGACATATCAATTGTAAACCTACTACCTTCTAACATAAAAGGAGACAACGATGGGCCAGCAGACCTCACAGGGTGGACAGAGGTGGGAGGAAGATTAGACAATAAGTGGGATGACAGGTCAATGCTGGTTAGCATGGTGTTAGAGCCGAAACACTGGGAACATCTGTAGGCTTGAACTATCTGGCATTACATACAAACTACATGAGCAGGCTTTAGAACATGAACAACAACAGTTGAAAAAGACATGAGCAGACATGTCCCTGTGGATACTACGTGTACATTGGTCACTAATGAGTGGAAACCCTTGTATGTCTGAAACAAAGCTGATGTGACCCAATTGATACAGAAATGCAAAAATATGAAATATAACAAACTAATAACAATCACAGTTGTACAGGAATAAATGCACCAACGATGCCATATCATTATGTAATATGTAAGCCAAATACATTTCATATATATATCACAAGAGGGCAGCACAAGCATGCTGCAAGCTGGACAAAGACACATTCACTGACATTTAGTAAGCATTAGCTTTGGCTAAAAGTGACTAAAAGCCTCTACAAAAGACCTGAGATTAAAATGCCAATGTTATATAAAAAAAAGAATCTGAGCTTCAAACTGTTGGAAGATGATTATTCTTCCTGAAAGACTTGGTATGAGCCCAGTGTTTGCTTTGTACTTAAAGCCTAGTTCTGAAACGTCAGACATCAGATAAATGTAGTGGAAGAAAATACTACAAAAAGTTTGTGGGTATCTAGTAAATGTACTGAATGACCCTCTCTGCTGTATATCATAAATGACAATGATGCTCACATCCACCATGATCTAAATAATTGCTTTATCTAAACTCCTGCTACTTGTGCATGTAGCATGTCCGTGCTAGGAATGGCATCAGTCATACCCAGTCATTAGTCATACCCAGTCATTAGTCATACCCAGTCATATCCATTCTACAGCCAAAGTGTCTATGCTACAGCCCAATTTCCTACAAACCAGGCTCAAAAGTATTGGGAATTACACCCTTGATGCAACCTCACTTTCTGTATTTTGCTATTATTTAATTATTGGGATCCTGTAAGTGTCCTGGTGACCTGCTCTCTAGATGTGGTCCATTGACGTTTCATCGCCTCCAGTTTGTATTCCTTAAACCAGGAAGTATATGGGTTCATCCTAAGAGCCTTCTCCTGTATGAGACTAAAATATGGAATTATTTACTGTTTATGCACTGAGTTCTCTTTTGCTACAGAGCTTATTGTCTTCATAGTTCAAAAATCTAATGTGTGTGTGTGTGTGTGTGTCAGCGATGCCGTCACTTTGTCAACAGATTGGTTGTGTCTTCGACCCGCTGAGTGCAGCAGCACTGACTGAAGATAACCTGTGTGTGTGTGTAGGAGGAGGAGCATACTGCCATATAACAGCAAGAGGAAATGATGTCACTGATAAACAGGAGTCACTTCCTTCCACGCTGGAGCACTCTGAGGCTCCTCCTCCAGCAGTGATGCAAGGTGATGCAATTGGCTGAAATGGCTCTTTAGTAAGAGGCAGCAGTAACCTAGCAACAGAGGTGGGTCTATGGGAAGTGTGTGTGTGTGTGTGCAGCCTCCCTCCTTTGTCCTTCCTTTGTTCATTCATTCAGGTAGTCAGAAGGAGAAGAATGAATGCAGGAGAGAGGAATGGTGACATATATCAGCATTATCTCTTACACTTCTCTTCTGTTGGCTATGATCTATTACATTTTGTTGTCTTAAATATTATTTCAACAAAAAAAGAAGACAAAGTACAGAAGGCCATTGAGATAAGAGGAGGGAGGAAGGAAGGAAAGATGGAAAAATGAAAAAAAACACACAGAAAACCAAGTAATAGGAAGAGACGATCAGATTATAATTATAATAACAAACAAAAAAACTGAAAAGGGAGGGAGCAATGAAGCAAAAGAGAAGAAGTGTAAGGTAGAAAATAAGGACGAAAAGATGAACAAAAGGAGGAAATGAAGGAAAAACAGAAAAAAATAAGCAAAGAACATATACTTACAGTGAGAAAAGAAGGAATTAAAAGACAGGGCTTGAACAACGGAGGAAGAAGAGAAGGACATAATGTGTTCAAAATGCTTTGAAATGTCAAATCTATTTTTTGGAAAGTGTATGGTAAATACTTTTCTCCAGCTCACCTTCCATTAAGACTCTCAAAAGCTTCCTGTTCAGCTGCTAGATGTGTGTGTGCGCTGTCAGGTATGCTGCACTGTCCTGGTCCGTATCATAAGTGTTTGGTCAAAGGAAATGTGTGTGTATGTGTTGCTTGACAGGACTGAGAGGGATGCATTTCCTGATGATCTGAGGGCATGTTGGACTAGTCAGGTACTCAAAGTGTACACACAAACATACACTCACATACACGCTCACGCACACACACACACACACATACACGCTCACACACACACACACACAGCACTCTGTGTCATCTGTCGCCAGGATGTCACTGAACATTCATGACATTGAACACTATGATATTCTCACGGTAAGACAGATAAATAGCATGAGATTTCTGTGTGTCATTGTTAGCGATTATTTTGGGGTAACGATGTGACACAAGACAAGTCTAAAAGGATGTTAGGTTTAGGTGTCAAAACCACTTTGTTAGGTTTAGAAAAAACTAGTGCTGGGCAACGATTACAATTTTAAGCTCGATTAATCGCATTATGCTCAAAGTTCAATAATTAATTCAAAAGTGGTGTATTGCGCACTTTTATTTTAAAAGTATTCCACAAAAGTTGTACTGAACAAAAGTGCAATAACAGCAGCAGCAGTAGCAGGAAATAACGGCACACAAACACAGCTGTTCACATCTCGCTGCCCGGTTCTTGTGTTAAAAATGTCCGCTTAATAATAAAAAAAAAACTGCGTTAACGCGCGATAATATAATTGTCGGCGTTAATTAATGAATGCGATAATAACGCGTTAACTTGCCCAGCACTAAATAAAACATGGTTTTACTTAAAATAACTTCAAAAAAGGTCAAGTTAAATAAGTGCAGAAACGTAAAAGGAAAACACGTCACTAGCTTGAAAAACACAACAACACTTTGGGACACCGGCCTCCTGGTTGCAAGTACTGTGTTTGTTTGACCCATCCATCTCCCGTCCCGCCACATTTTATACTATGTCACTTAGTCAGAGTGTAGCATTTTCCCGAGGATGCATTTACACTGCAGTCAGTACAGACTACATGGCGTACAAATGACACCTTAAAAATGAACACTGCACTTGATCACGTAATGGCAGGGGATAAAAAAAACATGGTTAGTCTTGCAACTGGGAAGCTTGCAGGCAGGCACAAACTCGTTTATCTCATCATCTTGAAAGTACACACGCTAGATTAACACAGCCTCAAACATATCTACCTCGTCTAACCTCCGTGTGGAATGTGCCGAGTAACTACACCCTTGGATCCCAGTGCTGAGCATCACCTGTTTTTTACCAACTTGTGGATGTATACAGGTCAGTTGTTTTATTGACTGGGAAGGTGTCAAGGATTTTAACATATACACTGATGAAAGTCAGCAATCAAAAAGCAGCATGCAGTACCTACTGCAACAACTATGCTGACTCATACATGAATGTTGTATAACAGTCATTTCAATCAGTGTTGTTAAACCTTTCCTCATCAATTCAACAGTCATCTGTTAACTTCAACTTGAGCTATAGACTCTGCCACGTCTAAACTTTGCATTTAGTCTGAACACACCTTTTGCCAGAACTTTAGGTTACTTACATAAACGTGGTTCTCTGAGTAGCATGACTTAGATTTCTCACTGTCGCTCCCTTAAATATTTACACAAGCACTACCATTACCCCAGCCCTGAGTGGCGTCAGCACCCCTACACCTTTATATATGAATAACTGAGTTCTATAAACACTTGTGGAATAGTCTAGCCCCGTCTCCTTTTTTGTCTTTTTTTATTGTCTACAAAAGTGAGTACAAAACAACTGCAGACAAGTACATGAATACATATGCGACCCAATGAATTACACAAAGTAAGACAGAGACAAAAGCAAAGGGGACATAAGCAAACTGAGGAGAATAAC